GCCAGAGTGGGGGGGATACATGCTCTCTCTCTCTCTCTCTCTCTCTCTCTCTCGCAGATTCGCAGCCAATCAGACACAGCGACTGGTGCCAAACTGCCAGACCCGCACCACCTGTCGTTCACAGACATCACACTTACACACAGTCTCCCACCAAGACTTCCATTAGAAAGTTACCTGCCTGCATTAAAACCGAGTGGTAGCATTTCCCTTATCCCTGAATGTGAGCGAGTTGCGCACAGACAGTCCGAGTGTAGTTCAGTAAAGTCAAATGTGAATTGTCGGCATGAAATTAAACTAAATTGAGTTTTTTAATCAGTTAAAGTCCCTCTCAGCTCGTTGAATAAACCCCTAGAAAACCTGTGTATCAACGTTACATATTTAGACCGTTTTTACCATGAAAGTAATCTCGTCATGCCTGGAAATGGCTCAGATGTGACTTTGCTTCATCTATGAACTCCCTGCCTTTGGCCCCACCTGCCCCTACACACCCGCTGCAGCTCGAGCACACCAGCTCACCTACAACTCGAACACTGTGATATATAATGGATAAAAATCAGCTAATTTATTTATACATTTAAGAACTGGAAACCGATTAGGAAGAAAAAAATAATCAGAAAATCTGCACATTGACAGCTTTAGTTTTTTTTTATTTTTGTTACATATGAAACCCTGAAAGAATTAAAAAATAAAAATTCTTTTCACTTTTTCAAGTCACTAATACTTATTTTGCACATTATGGGGGGGAAAAGCAATTTGTACATATCAATACAGTAAAAAAAATAAACCTAGATTATCAACAAATTGGTCTTAAAATGTTCTCCTAGTTGCTTTGCTGTATAAGACTACAAAGAATTAATGGCACACATCACACACAGAGACAGTCCCTCACACACAGCAGCCTTCTTAGCTGGGCAGCGTCTTCTCTGCTGCCAGTGGTCATGGCCACTGTTCTCCATAATGGCATCTGTCTGGCATATGGAAGCTCTGGAGGGTCATCCAGATAAGCACGCTGTCACCCGCTGCCTTCTGCCACCGGAACCCCCCACAAACACTTCATTTTCCGTCCTTATCGTCATTTTGCTACCGTTCATGTCATCTCTTCTTCATTATGTCTTTTTGACAATCCTGCATCACACCTCTCCGCCATCATCCTACCTTTTCCTTCCTCCCTTATTGCATTTGATAGCACACTTGTTTCCCATAATGAGAAACATTCCTTTTCTCCGCCACTCCACATGAGTTTTGCTTCTGTTTGTGTCGTAAATGAGCCTTTATGCCTCCCTACTGGAGCCAATAGAAGAGCTGTGAAAGAAGGATCCGGGACCGGATACGTGGAGCTGTTCAAAAATCCACAGTCAGTCATCATCAGTGTTCAGCTGCACAGTGATTGGCTGTTGTGTTCACTGAACTGAAGTGGAGGGTAACAGTGAAAGATGAGGGCGAGCCAGGATAGGCACCCTCCCGACCGCAGCACAAAGAGGCTCACCGTGATAATTTCAATATGGCAGCATTTCATCTGTGCATATTGTGCTGTAGTGCTCTTGACTTTGCATCTTTCACAGAACACACTGCGTTTGGATGCAGACTCTCAGCTCTATAGAGGCTGGGAAAAGTGTAGAGGAAATACATTTCCTGTAAAGTTGAGCTTTTCCTGGTTTCTCTCACAAATGTAATTCTCTCTTTTTGTGTTTAAATATTGCCAAATCCACTTTGGCAGATATGAGACCCTCTTCCACATCACTTTAGCCTCCCTCTATCTTTCGAAAAACTGCCAGCGGCGCTGAGAGCTCCCCCCTCCAAAGCCCAAATGGCATCACTGGCCTTTTGTGTCTGTGAAATATCGTCGGCTGGGTCTTCCATATGGTGACATCTGCCTGATGGGACCAAGATGCCATATCCCAACGCCATCCAAAAAAAATCTCTCCTTTAGTTGGCTTTGATGGATGACTGGTGCATCCGCAGCACTTTTCCACAGCCGCACACTCGCGTGTACACTCGCTTAGGCAGAAGTGGCTGTAGGATCCAGCTGCGGGTCTGTTGTCTTGGCCGCGCCGCGTGCAGCGCAGCTATCAAATCAACCTATGTGCACGAGCTAGCTAAGCAATTAAACTCCAGAGCCCCATCCACACTCGACTGTTTTAACATCTGGCATCCTTGTTTCTGGTGTGTGTGTGCGTCTGAGTGTGAAAGCCAGCTCATCTGCTACTATAATCAGCTGCAAAACGTGGCACACAATAGAATCTATTACATGATCACTCTTTCTCTGTGCTGTCTCCTTTTTTTTTTTCCCAGCTTCCTTTGTTTTTACAGTTGTTTTCCCTCTATGTTCACGTTTACCGCTAACTCCAGAGAGATACTCGTGAACAAATTCATTCATCTGCTGAACGAATCACACTCGCAGGGCAGCACTCCACCGACGGAGAGCGACGTGGGTGGCCGGGGTTAAACATGGTGGAGGTGATGTGAACCGTTAGGTGTGTGTGTTTGTTCTGTAGGCCCTGTGCATAACTTGATCACTGTCTACTGTGATACTGTAATAATGGAGGACAGCTTCACTTAGACGGGCTGCCACTTGAGCTTTTTAAGGTCCATACGTCCCACTTACAATAAGCTAACACTGCCTCTCTCTCCCTCTTTCCCCCCCATCACCCTCCTCCCCCCCTGCCCTATGACTCATCACTGGTTCATTCAATGAGGCTAAATGGCTGTTCTAGCAGAAGCAGTCAATATGCTCAACAACTGCACACTGGCTTCCTCTTCTCTCCCACTGCAACTCTGGTGTGTTCTCTCTCTGTACTCTCAGTGTGCACATCACCTGCTGTATGCACGGAGCACAACAAACAGCAGCATTTATATCAAACAAATTAGAGAATCTGATGTTTCCACGCTGCGGGTGATGCTGGCGATTAAAAAAAATAAAATGTTTTAGCGCGTATGTGACAGGTGTGTCTGGGGGCAGAATCAGAATGGAAACGCCTGCACTTAGTCCTCGTTTACTTCATGCAACTTTTGTTCATCAGGAGCACGGTGAAGAGAAAGTTTGGATTAAAATGTTCTGTGAGAACAGCTGCATTACATGAGAAGACTGTGTAGGTTGTTTCATGAAACTTTCATGACATCTTATTCAGCAGTCTCACATCTTCATACTCTAGTTAGAGCGCTGAGGTCAACCAACCCGATGCACCGGTATGTTCCAAGATGTAGGCACGAAAATAGACCCTTCATAAAGGCTGCTCACAAACTCAAGAACAGTTTACCTTTGCGTGTCAGAAGTTTTCATGCTCAGCATTGAGAAACTTTGCTGATGAAGACAGAACGTGCCACCTCCAGTTCATCTTTTGTTGAGTTGTCATTTTTTGTATTCCGATTAATTTTTTGTGTTTTTTTTTTGTTCATTTTTGTCTTTTAGTCGGTGTCGGTTTTTATGTCCTTACAGCACTTTGGTTCAACTCTTGCTGTTTTGAATAGTGCTTTTTAAATTAGTTTGACTCTGACATTAAAAAAAAGCAGAACTGAAAACATGCTTCTGCCTCGGCAGAGAAATACAAAAGTTAAGATTAATGTGGTTTCAGAAAATTGAAAACAAAAACACTGTAAATTCTAAAACCTTATGTCAGAGTTTTACCTCACTAACTGATAACACACATCATGGGTGTTGTTAGCAGGTTGCTAACGTGAGCGGGACACCACTGGTTGGTCCAGACCAGAGCTGAAATGAAAGTGGAAGTTATAAGAAATATCTGAGACACTGGGAATAATTAGTCTTTTCTGCCAAAGGCAAAGTTTTCTGACATTCCTGTTTCCTCAGTCTCACTGTTGTATCTGTAATGTCCCACTCCGAGAGTATTTAAAAGATTAAATGTGAAAAGTGCAAATGTTTAAAACCTGCATTATGTCTCCTCTGGCTTCAATAAGGATGGTCTGCACTTATATAGCGCTTTTCTACCTTTGCGGCACTCAAAGCGCTTTACCATGTTTCTCATTCACCCATTCACACACACATTCACACACCAATGGCAACAGAGCTGCCATGCAAGGCACTAATCTACCATTGGGAGCCATTTGGGGTTCAGTGTCTTGCCCAAGGACACTTCGACATGTGGGGGGAACCGGGGATCGAACCGCCAACCTTGCCATCAGTGTACAACCCGCTCGACCACCTGAGCCACAGCCGCCCCAAAGTCTGAGCCTGTTTCTCATTTGATTTGTTACCTCAGTAAACATTTTCCTGTTAAGTTTATGGTCTCTAGTGCTAATTTGAAGACTCGTTGAATACAAAATGGAGCTCATTTCATAAATTATGGTCTCATTTAGAATAAAACAGATGATAGAGCAGTGGTAGGGCAGACCACTAAAGCATCACCATGTGTTCTGTCCTGTTGCTGTGTCTCACCATCAAACTGTACAGTAGAGCTCTGATTTTTTTTTACAAACACCACTCAGGATTCACCTCTTTTTAGCTTGTAGCTCACTTAAGGTGTCCTGTGAATGCACTTGATCACAAACTGCTGCACGGCGGCGGCCTGTGAGTCGCAGACACGAGGAGGTACGACTTCTTGCATTTCGAGTGACTTTGCTGGTGCGAGCTCCTGCACGAAGCGCGAAGTGACGCCCTGCATGTGGCAGATAACACAGTGACCCCAGAGAGCCGTGACGTCAGGAGCTCCGTACGCCTCCTTCACGTGTTTGTGCGTTTCCCGTCCCCGCGGTGACATAACCACTCTTGCGTCGATGTGTGTTGTCTTGATCCTGTTGCCGTCTTCAGAGAACACTGTGTTCCTCGCATTTCAGCGAAGGGTGAGCGAGTACCCTTCTGCCTTCTTCAGAAAAAATGTGAACTTTGTGCAAAAAAACTTGGAAATTTCCGTGTAAGCAGGTAAAAGGAATATCTCCAGGGGCAGAGCAGGTTGAAAGGATGCATTGATTCACCTTAATCCTTTAAAATCCTACGTGTGACGCGGTGATGTGATATGCTAATGACTCATCTCTTTCTGCCCTAGGTGACAGAGTACCTGAACAGTCAAGAATCTGCCAAGAGTGCCAGGGTAAGTCCCTTCATCCCAGCCACCATCTTATTGTCTTTTTTTCAGCTTTCGTGTCACCTCCTCCTCCTAATAGCTACGGTTTGTCTGCCTCTCTGAGAACTCTAATGGTGCCAAAAACAAGAATGCATTACAACACTAATTACTTTGCCTTATCAACTATCAGAGAGAAAGTGTCTTCTCTCTTTGCTGCTTTTTTCTCTTTTCTCAAGATGTCACACATTACATTGGCAGTCACCATTGTCCCATATGGATTGCTGCCCACAGTCTGTGCAGGTCCGTACTGTGAAAATGGGGGTGGGGATGTGTGCAAAGAGCAGTAGGGATGGGAGAGGAATGAATCGGGTGTAGCACACAGGGCTCCCGTGTTCAAATGAGTCAGGGCACAGTCCAGTGAAATTATTTGAGCCCAGTAAACCATCAGCAACCAGCCAGACGGAACCAGGTTTGTGCAGCGGAGCCCCGTTTTTGTCCACAAAACTATTTAAAACGCATTAATCAGCTGAACCATTAGCGGAAGACGAACTCTTCCAAATTCCGATTCCAAAGAAATCATTAGGAGATTTCGATTCTGGGGTTCTTCAACAGATTTCTTTTGCGCTAGTTTCAAGTGAACAGTGTTCTGCAATTAGCCTCAGTACGTCTCCCATCCATCTGCACCATTAATCATGCAACAGGAACGCATGTGTTTCTTCTCGTCTCTTAATGCATTCGTGTTAATAAATCATCAGTGTAGCATTTGTTACACTATGGTGCCACTTTCGTTTTCCTTTTCACCACCGACAGCAGCTATTGACACCGCAGGAGAACTTGGAAGTCATTTGTTGGAACCATTAAAGTAGCACATTTGAAAACAAATTTTATTAAGCTAATAAAAATGAATGAAAGACCCAAATATTAATTACAATGAGGAGAGTAAAACCGCTCAAAAAAAAAAAGTGGTATTTGCATAAAAATAACTCCATTATACACAGGTATTACATCGAAAACTCAATTATAATTTTAAAACGGTGCTGCCAGAATCCAGAAAGTTAAAAGTATTAAATAATTGTTCAGGAGAGGAAATGTTCAGTCTAAAAGGGTAGCTTGGGATGTGGCCGGTGTGGTGTTATTTTATTTATTAATATTTTATAATCATTGTTTTTTTTGCCAATATATTCAAATAATTAAAGAAGAAAAAATGTATTAGAGTCAAACTCACTGAAGCAAAACAAACAGAAACCAAAAAGTAATCGCATAAGTCTAACTTTTAATTGGAGTCTGCTATTGTTACAGTAAGTTAGTCAAAGTTAACCCCAAAATATTCAAGAAACTGGAAAAGAGACCAGTGTTGCTCCAGTTGTGAGTATCGTCCAGTTCTGTTCACGTTTATCTGTGATCAGCAGCATTTTGCACAAGTAGTAACACAAACAGCCACTCTGTATTTATTTCTCTCTTAGACTAACTATTGACTGAAGTAACTGCGCTAACCCTCATAGCAACACTTCAGTGTGACTGCAGGAACGTGCTGCTGCTTCTCTCACACTCTGACAAACTCACTTCACAGCAAACCCACTGGTCTACGTCAGCGCCTTGGTTAAGGTGATGTGCAGTTCGCCTGTGGGCGTGCAAAACTCACTTGTGAAGGAACATTCTAACTCTAGTAGTTCATCTACTTATTAAGTGTACCTTGGTGGACGGAGTTGGGCGGATCAAGTACTGAAATCACGCCGCATCAAAAAATTTTCAACGTATAATCAGGAAAATACGCGCAAAAGTTCTCCTGCGATGCTAAAACGCTGCCCAGCAGGATCTGACTGGTACATTCACTGTAACCACCTGCTCCTCAAAGCACCATCATCAGGGATTGTTCATGCAGCAGCCCTAACCGTTAGCAAGGTGTTATCTACTGAGTCGATCACCATCCTGCTGCTTTGAACGCTCACTGGAGCTAGAAATATGCCATTCCAAAATAAACGCACTGTTTCCTCCCTTTAGCATCTCTTATGTTGCCCAGCTGTTTACAAAATCATTTTGCCTTTTTTAAATATAAAACTTTGAAGCCTGTGCTGCTATAAGCCAGAGAGAGAAGAGAAAAAAGACTGAAACACTGATAGTTTGGGCCTTTTTATTGGGCAGTTTAACAATAAGATATACGTAGAATTATAGGAAATAATACCGTTGTAGTAAATGTCCAACAGCCCCTTTTTATTGTCTATATTTAGACTTTGCTAATCTAAGCTTCCTTTCACAAGAGCCCCTATTAGCCACTTGGATTCGCATTTGTTTTGCTCACGTCATGTAAAACATGTTGGCTCAGAATTCTAAAAGGCCCGGCCCCTGTACCCTTTCAGTCACCGCGGCGATCCAGCACGGCCAGACAATAAGGTGGGATTGACTGTAATCACAATCAGAGTTACTGCCGTGCTTTCAGGGTGTCAGGGAGGAGCAGGAGAGGAAAAAAAAAGGCAGCCGAGTGAGAAACGGGAAAATGGCTTCATTCATTTCATTCATCCTAATAACTAGTGCTAATTAGCACAGTCGCTAATTAGCTATGAATCACAGCATTAACAGCTAAGCGCGCATGCTTCTGAGAGCCAAAAAGAAACACACACACACAGGTCCCTGTACGCAAACACACACACATACACAAAAAGACTGGACGGTTTCTATCACATTTGAATAACCAACTGGGTTCTCGTCCAAACCACACACACATTTTTGCCAGCCGCGTTGTGGTGAAGGCGACATTTAGGGAAACGCAGGAGACGGTTTATGAGGCGATGCAGCAGCGCCAGTGTAATGGAACAGGAGCCGTAATAGACTGGGTGGTATTTGAGGCATTGTGGGCCTCCTGGATGGGGAAGCACAAAGAGCCAGATTAAATGGTGATGATGATGATGATGATGATGATGATGATGATGATGCTGATGATGCAGGCGCCTTCGCACTGGGCTGTGAAAACACTGATCTCTCTCTCTGAGGGCTGCGTCGTGGCTCTGCCTCCACTTTGCCTCTTGACCGTTTAACATGGAATGTGCTCGAGAGGTTACTGGAGCCCCATTCAAAGCAATAGGACAGTTTGGTTTTTTTTACCACTTTTTTATGTTTATTTGTTTCATTACGATCAATAAAATCTGTCTCTGACTTCCCACCAGCTCAACATTTGGCGCTACGGAGACTTCCGTGCCGACGACGCCGACGAGTTTGGTTACAGCCGTTAAAAAGAAGAAAAAAAAAGAAAAAGGAGAAAAAAACGAAACCGACCATCCAATAAAACACCATTCCAAAGACCAACATGGACAGCAAGTGATGCATCGGACAGAAGATAAAACTAAACGACAAGCATTGACTCACTTTTTATTTGACATTTCATCCCTCCAGTCTGACTTTCCTTCTGCTCACATTTTCTTTTTTTTTAATTTCCTCCAGCTAGCCCCTGTAGCTCCAAATAGAGCATGCTAGCAACACTAAAATAATGAAAAAAATAATCACGTAAGAATCACTTTCCAGTCATCCTTTGTTTTCCTAATCGGCCACTGCCAGCTCAAGCAGCCTGCACTATTGCCAATCTGTGTTATTTGCCATGTTACCTTCTCGGCAGACTTCCTGTGTGAATGATAATAATTGATGATACTTATGTGTTTCAGCCAATCACATTCTTTGCTCTCTGACGCTCTAGCCCAACCCCCCTTGCTTTCCTCTTTATGGGAAGGGACTGGGTTTTCGGGGGAGAATACTCAATTTTTTGCAAACAAATGCTTCCCTAATGAATTTCTTGTAAATGTGAGGATATGTTGAAAGGTGTAAATCGATTTATTTTAGAACAGAACTGTAGGTGGAGACACACAGACAAAAAAAAAAATGGAAAAAAAAAAATATGAAAAAAGGATGAGTTTATTTTTGTCTTCGATGTATATCTGTGTGATGATGACATTTGCAGATGTTTTTTGTGGGGAGTGTTTTGTCGTTTATTCACTATGTCACACTTTTATGACCAGTAACTATGGATGCCTTCCTGTGGCATTTTATCATCTCTTCTTCTGTAAAGTTTACATTCTATTAATGGTAATGATCCTGTCTCTGGCAGTCTCTTCTCTTTCTGTCTCTGTATTCCATAGCAGATACAGTGTTTGAATTTGTTTCCACGTAATGAACCTTTGCATTCTATTAAAAATCTGCTGAATAAAAATAAGCAAACGAGAAGTGTCTTGTTTTCTCTTTTTTCGTGTAGAATCGATTTTCTTTAAACTCTGATCTCTGCTCTGAATTTAAGTTTGGAGGCTTGATTTTAATAAAACATTTGCAGAAGAGCACTTGTACGCAGATAAAAGGTTTTGTTACCTGTTAAACGCAACATCCCGACAAAGGGCTGGCACTAAAAGCTTGTCAGCTTCCGTTCACTACATTTGTAATTAGCAATGCTAATGCTTGTTTGGACGCCTGAAGTTTGAACTTGTGGGATTTATCGTCAGTTTGCTGCTCCTCTGTTGCTTCCAAACGGTGGCGTACAAATCGACCATACAGGTTAAAAGTTGACTGGAGTTTTGCCGAAGTGCTGCTGCTGAATTTACATGAGTCGATGATTGTTTGCATGTTTGAAAAATCACTGCCAAGAAGCGAGAAAACATGAATCTATCATCCAAAGGTGATGTGTAGGAGAAGCACTATAAACTAGCCTGATGAAGGTTAAAATATGCACTCTGTAGCCGCTTATATTTTATTTTAATAAGCAATGGAGTCATTTTTGACCACACAGGAAACATTGGGTGTAGATCATTATTTTTTAAGTGAACCTGCTTCAATTAAAACAGCTCGTATCAACATGACTTGTTATCTTTACTTCAGGCTGCTGCAGCTTTATGTGACTATTAAAGCCATATCACTTATATTTAACAGGATGGCTGTGAAATCAAACCATCAGGAACCCAACCCACACACACCAACAGCTCAGTGCTACTCAAACCTGACATGGACCAAACCCTCACCTCCAGATTTAAACCTATAAGCTTATTAATTGTGACCTAAAAATAATTAGTACAGAACAAGCCAGCGGGTTGAAAACTGGTGCCTGCATGAATCCATCCAGACCAAACAGGACTCTTAAAGGCCAGACGGTCATTCGCTAACATTCGCCGACTATTTAACCTCATCGACCTTTCTCACAGATTCCACCTTAACACCGTAATTGCGTCATTAAATGCCGAAAAGGGCCTTAAAGTCAACAAGACGTTTCTTTTTACTGCCCTCAAGAATTCACTGAGTGCTTTAAAACTCTCAAGAACTCACCGTCTCCGTCACTAATAATCGCACCTCTCCAAGCTTCAATTCACAACTGAGGTCATTTCAGGCCACGTCACATCAGTCGGGTCATTATACTGCTGTATTTTTATACATCTATTATGTTAGAGCGAGAGCTCCAGCAGTTCTCTGTGAGCAAAGCGCTGCATGAACAGATGTTACATCAGGACAAGCACTCTGTTACCGTTTGCCATTTTCTTTGAACTCCTCGCAGCTGCTATGCAACTAAACATTTCCATTCCAGGTATAAAAACAAAACAAATTCACCACAAGATCAGCTGACATGCAGGTGACATCCTGCTGCACCTGACAAACCCCTCAACACCCATCCATCCATTGTCTATACACCACTTAATCCTCACTAGGGTCGCGGGGGGGCTGGAGTCTATCCCAGCTGACTTAGGGCGAAGGCAGGAGACACCCTGGACAGGTCACCAGTCTATCACAGGGCTTCCTCTCACAAGGTCCAAAACATGTTGAGGTTAATTGGTGATTCTAAATTGTCCGTAGGTGTGAATGTGAGTGTGTTTGGTTGTCTGTCTCTAAGTGTAACCCCTCAACAGCCCTTCAAAATCTACAATTCCACCACTTTGAAGGAAGGCCTTATCGAACATGACATAACTTAGTGTTAAAGTTTCGCTGCAGAGTCCAGATCAGGGGTGCCCAGTCCTGGTCCTCGAGAGCCCCAATCCAGCATGTTTTAGATGTTTCCCTCTTCCAACACACCTGATTCAAATGATCAGCTCATCATCAAGCTCTGCAGAAGCCTGATAACCATCCTGATCATGTGAATCAGGTGTGTTGGAAGAAGGAAACATCTACAACATGCTGGATAGGGGCTCTTGAGGACCAGGAATGGGCACCCCTGGTCCAGACCATTGAACCTGCTGGAACAATCTACCTCTAATCTATGTCACAAACTGAAAGACAATCAGAACCTTTTTCTCATGACACCAGGCCAACATACATCACATTGGTTTAGTGCTGCAGAGCTAAAGTCTACTGAAAACATTAAGAAACTATAACGAGACTGTGACGTCTTAACTGCCCCAAATGTCACATTTTACGACTTATTAAATCTGTATCTACGTGACTACAAGACACTCAACAACAACAGCAGTTCTGGTCTGATAGAAAACATTATTTGTTGCTTTCCACTGCAGGAACTTGCAGGTAGTTTTAGGGCGGCCTGCATCTGTTCTGAGTGCGAGAACCACCCTCGCTAGAACGTCTTTCAGGGCTGAGTGAGGACAAAGTACATCTGAAACATCAACACTGATTGGTTAAACTCTGAGAGGACAACACATTGGTGTCTTTTCCTCTCTTCAACATAAGATTCACCGTTCAGACTAACATTTAGTTTCCTGTGTGCTCACAGAACTGGAGTTGCGTTCTACAACTACTATTTGTCACTGTTTTGGCACGCTGTCGGATGCTACGACGCAGCAATAGAAAAAGAGAAGCTGAAAAGGCAGATTAGGGGGCTGTTACTGTAAACGTTCCCACCAGCTTGTGCCTCCCCCGAGATGCTGTAGTGAAAAGCTGCCTTATGACTGCCAAAAGACCTCCTGTCTGATATTGATAGATAGTGAAAAACAAAACCATTTCAAAAATCCATTCACGCTGGTGAGTGACAGATTGGTAGAAATCCCACTAAATCACTGGACCGCCCACATTCCTCAAATAAATTCACCCAATTTAACTCAAACAGAGTCAAATCAAAAATAAACTCATTACATGGAAAAAAAAAGTGAGAATTACACATTTGGAACTTCTTTTTTTTTTTAAACAGCTTAATCGCACTTTACGAGACGCTAAAACAGACACATGATCACGTTTTCAGGCAGCATGTTAACAGCTGTTTTAAAGAAGGAATCCAAATGACACTCTGCAGCCACTCTCACCGATCAATCAACTTAAGCTCGCAGACACTTGGGCAAAATTATTTAAAAATATTCAAATTTCCAGCTCCACTTCCACAAGTGGACGGTACTAAAATGCAGAAAGCGTCCACGGATAATGGGGTCTGGAGCAAACAGCAGGAGCTAGCGTTGCTCCTCGGTGAGTTCATTGTTTCCTTTGGGGGGGCTACTGGCTGATCCCTCCCAAAGGAAACAATCTGCTGAGCTCTCACCGAAACCGGAAGTCGCCCAACATCATTTTGTTTACAACTGCTCCAGCAAATCAGATGTGACAGCAGCAGGAAGCCAGATCACTGAGGTTAGCAAATAAGACTGGACACCTTTACCACAATACAACAACACCAATAAAGTGCATAAAGGAATTCAATTTAACGCCAAAACAAAAGAAGAAAACATTACGAATATGTGCAGCATTCATCTTGTTCGCTAAATATCAAGAAGCTAAAATAGAACCAGCAAACTGAAGTCACTCAGCCTTGCGTGTCAGCCACAAGCAAACCCCTGTGAGTCAAAGCGCAGGGCAAAAATAGCGCCGTTAGCAAAAGCAAAGGACCCCAGAGCAGCAGAGAGGAGCGATCAGCGGTGTAACAAAGAACACAACACTGTAGACAGACCCGCTAAATATCAGGTGCTCCGCTGTGACCGATGGAAATGTTAAGTCGCACTTGACAGATTGTTTGTCTCACTCTGGAGCTCTGTTAGCAGTTTTCTTAAACCTTCAGCAACAGTCTGCAGGCGAAACAACACTCACACATTTCCCAAGACAAGAAGCGGACATGTCATCTTAGTCATTCTGCTGTTTTTGCTGGAAGTGTTCAACTCTGCACCCCTTTTTCAGAACGAGTCGTTGTTGTCTGCAATCTGAAACAGTCAAATAAGGGACGTTCGCTTTGGGTTCAGCTCTGAAATGGCAGGTTTCAGAGACTTATTGAGATTCTAATATCAACCCGAGAGGCGGAAAATGAGGTAAACACACACACAGCTCACACATGCATGGTTTTATATCAATCAATGTTATTGTGTACTATCAGAAAAAAACGTCTTTTAATGCTTTGTCAGAGTTGTTTTTAGAAACTTTCCTTCTTTGACCTGACCTGAATCACATGGACCTGAGTTGATCTGAATTTAAGGAAGCACTTCGAATGGATGCCAAAGTCGTCGTGGCTAAAGCTCGATGCCACGTAGAGGTAAAATCAGTCACAAAGTCCCAACGCTTGACTTGTTCTAAAGAGTAAAAAAACAAAACAAGAGACACAAACACATCAGTAATAAACTACCTAATATATGTGAGTTGACTGTATTAAATAAAACTTCCCATTAATTAAACATATAATCACATAATGTGTTTTTAACTTCTGCTGTCTCTCTTTTTTCACGATAAATTTGTTTCCATCCCTGCACTTAAATATACTCCAGTTTTAATTTGTTTTCTGGATCATAATCTTCAACAATTTATGAAGCCATATCCAACATGATACAGTAAAAATAAAACTTCAAAATAAAACAGGGCTATAATGAGGTGCTCGTAAACGTTTAATATGGCCTGCCGTATAAATAAATGCTCCATTCCACATTAAATGACTGTGAAGCATAGAGCCCCCCCCCGTGCTTTGCCAAATCTGACATAAACCACATCGTTGCCTCCTCAAATCACCATTTATATGCTTTAAAGCTTACTTCATGAAACCATTTGCGCTGGGATGAGCCTGAAGACGGCGCGGCCGCGATAGGAGGCGTCGGCAAATCTGTTACATCATCAAGGTCACCCTGAGGAAATTTACACTGAATGCATCGGCGCTGAAAACATACGGATTCCAATTATTGTTGACAAGAACGAGGCATTCACGTTGTAGATGTATGGTGGAGCTTTTCATCGCCGGTGGACATCCATCAGTTTAAAAGTCCTTTGAGTGACAGCTCAGTGTGTCAAGTGGCGTCTCCGCAGTGACCAGACTAATAAAACACAGGAGCAGCTCTCTGCCT